ACTACAGGTCTCAGCCTTTCCAGTGTGGTGCAGCCATTGTCGGACTACTCAGACTCTATCCTGTGAACTAAACTGATAAATCTCTATACATATATATTCATTCTACCAGTTCTGTTTCTTTGGAGAACCCTGACTAATACACCACAACTGACCAGTGTGCAGAGAACAAGAGTTTGCAGAATGCTTATCTGTGAGTAGAATACCTATATTAAACCTAATGCCCTGCAAGGCTCAGGGATCATTTCAGAAGAGAAAGCAGAAAGATTTCAAGAACCAGAGGTAGTGGCTGACCACAAGGAAATAAAGTTTTCCAGACAACTAGTCAATTATTTACATGAATTCACAACAATAGTGACAGCATGTACAAGTTCCATGCAAGTTCTAAACAGACAAATTCCAGCACAGACATGGTGAAGTGAATAAGAAATCTAAATCCAGAATAAGGAACTTTTGGCAATCAATGGCTTCTGGGGTGTAAAAACAGTTGTTTCCAGTCCTGGGACTCTGTGTGATAAGTAGTGTACGGTGGATAGACCCATAGTGAGGAACACTTGGTGACACAAATTAGACTCTATAGTCCTTATTATATGTGTAACAGAGTACATTAAGTTGGGCCAGGGACAGTAAGGATAGGTGTAGATAGGAAAAGAGACCTAATTACAATAAAATTTTATTGTATGAAAATCTCATAATTCAGTAAAAATAATACAGCAAATATTCTCACTACAAAAATTGCTCAGTGTATGAGATGGTGGTAGATATGTTAAATATGTTTAATCATTTCCAAATCTTAAAACATATGGTTCCCATAAATACATGCAATTATTATTTGTCAAGTAAAAATAAAATTCATACGATATAATTAAAAGCACATGATAAATTGTACAAATTAAGCCTCCTAGATTTAACGTGTATCTAAAGATAGTCTTTTAAATATAATATAATAAAAACTTATCTTCAAGGAAATATGGGAGAGTCTCTTAACTAGTCTATATATTATATTATAAAACATTTCTGAAGACATTTTAAAGGATTGAAATCATATTAGTCAAAACAATTCAATTATGAAATAAATTAGAAAGTATCACAATTAGTATATGAACTTTCCCTCCAAAGGTTTGTATATTGAAATCTTGGTTTAAACTGGGTAGACCTAATCATTGAGGTGACTGGATAATAACAAATTTTTCTTAAAATTTGGAGCAATCTGTTGGTGGAATCACACTTCCACAGCATTGCTGGGAGATCATGACAGAGCTGCCATGGTGAGAGGAAGCAGGTCATTTGAGATGTACTTTGAGAGATGTATACTTCTCCTAACCTTTTCCCTCCGACTCTGTATCCTGGCCTCTGTGATTTCAGTAACTGTCATATGCTACATCCCCTATGATCTTATACTTCACTTCAATGCTTAAGTAATGGAACTAATTGGTTTTAGATGAAAATATTAGAAACCAAATGTTTTTAGCAAAAATAAACACATTTTTCCAAAAAATATTGTTTCAAGTATGACTATATAACTAAACTATGCAGAAATAAATGGAAAATTAAGTACATTTTTATTAAACAGCCATGAATCAAAGAAACAAAGGAAAATGTTTTTAAGATGTTGTAGTGGATAGAAATGAAAAATTGACACACCAAAACTTATAAAAATTTAAAAATATGCACAAAACTTGTTGCTGAAAGAATACTATGCTTTAAAATTCTGAGTAGTCAATATCAATACAGTACTGTTTCATAATGAGAAACTGGCGAAATTATTACATGATCTTGAAGATTGCTTTACAATAATAGCAATGAAATCTACATAATATTCTCATTTTGTTTATACTGTTCATTGATTCCAGATCCCTTATATTACTTCAAATAGTCTTCATAATTTTCTGCCTATGACTGAACCACATAAAGATCTATTTCCAGGCAACTTAAATAAGTCATTAATTTTCAGTTATGTCTAAAAGTGCTAATAACACATCAAGCAGTGTTCTCTGCTACTGTGATCACTAAAGACTGTACTTGCTTGTCAGCAGGTTCGACACCTGACACTAAGTAAATAAATCAGAGAATTGCCAGACTTATCAATGCCCAAATATGAGTATATACTGTTTGACATATAATCTGAATAATAAGCTGCCAAAATCTGATGAATTAAAAGTTAAGTAGAAAAGATGCTTTATTCAGCTGAGAAAGAGTCAAAGGAAATTTCTTGGGTAGCTGATGCTTCATGAAAGAGTTTGATGTACAAAATGAATGTAGACAATATAAATTTCATTTGGACTTAGATTTTCTCATTATAGCTCTTTGTAGAACTTTGACTGTTTTCTACTTAATATAGATTTATCCCTGCCAAGTGATATCTTAAAACATACATAATCAAAGTATGTAATGAAGGAATCTTTTTCTTATTCTGTTTTTGTAAAAGAGCAAAAGTATTTCTGTGATTACCATTGCTAAATACTCCCAAACTACTCATCAAAAATACTCTCAATTATACTGCTTTCATTATATGTACTTGTATTATGTTTAGTCTGTTACTCCATGAATTGAAATACATCATGTATCAGGCGATGTGACATGATGTTAATTCATCAAGGTAAAGTATATGACATTAATTCCCAATTGTACAATATAGTATTGCTCTCATTTAAATGTTGTTCAGATGGATTAAGTGAACTGGCTAGAATCACTTATCCAATATTAATATAATATAAAATTCAAATCCATGTCTACTTGTTTCTAGGGCAAATATTCCTTTCCTTAAGAAAAAGTCCAATATTTTAGCTATTAAAAGGCCTATTACACACAAGTGGTATCCACAAAAATATCTTCCTGATACCTATGAAATATATGTATGAAACAAGAAATCTAATTTATTGATATTTTGAGTGGAATCTACCTCAAAGTCAAAAGTAGTCATTTTTTAATTAGGAATAAAGTTATTCCAAATTTTTAGTCATAACACAAGATGCTGAATAACAAATAATATACTAAGAAAGAACAAAGACAGATGATTTACAATATCTAAATCCAAGACTTATTTCAGTTAAAGTAATTAAAACTAGGCAGTGCCAGTTATATAGAGTATAAATTAATAGGAATTATGACATCCCAGATTGGATCTAATCCACCAAGCTTCTGAGAATTATAATCACTCAAAATATCTTTAAATTTCTGATTTATCTTTTTATGCACGGGAGAAGGTTCCACAGAAAGATAATTATATGGGCTATGCATTCGTATTAATGAATTAGTTTGCATGTATACAGAACCTTTTTACTTGAAATAACAATAATACAGGTCCATACCCTGGTTTCATATATTTTTTATATTGATTGCACATTTTCTACATTCTCATTACTCTCACACATCACCTTATCTTATGTCTACACTGGAAGCCCAAAGAAGCTGATTCTAATGGCAGGGATTGATTACAACAGCAACAAGATTGATGGACTTAGCCCACAGCAAGAGTTTTCATTTTCCATGTCATTTTATCTGGCCTGCCACCAGAAGGTATCTCCCAGATTTAGGGTAGGTCTGCTGTCTTCATGCTTCAGATAATATGATCCAGAAAGTCCTTTACAAAAAGCTTGTTTTTCAATTGGTTACAGGTAGAGTTATGTAGACAACCATGATTAATCTTCGCATTATTTTAAGCTATCCTGAGGTATTTGTTCACAGCTGACAAACGTACATTACATTAGAAAAGATTATCTTGAGTTGATGTTACTTGTGTTTTATAATTCACAGGAACAAAAATTTCAAATTATTAAAATGATTATTGATTTATACCATCCAAAAGTTTATAAGAATTAGCCACTTCATGGTCTGTTTTCTAAAACAGGGTAATTTATAATATTTTTCCAGTATTGGGAGGGGTAGTAAATAGTAGTATGAGGGAACAGAGGATTGGGAGGCAAGAGAAATCAGAATACATTGTGTATATGTGTGAAAATGCCAAAGAAAAGTTTAATGAAAATTAAGTCCAAGTAAATAAATATCACCAGATATAGAATAAATGCTTGAAAATAAAACATACACAATTTTTGAATGTGAGATTTATTGCTATATGGTATCATCATAGTAAGTATATGTTATAAATGCATTAATATATAGATGTTAATACTTTCAAGATTTTTGAAATAGTATATGTAATCAATTATTCATTTAAATATATTTAGTAGCAAGTCATGTTCTCTATTGAAAGTTTTGTTTTGGCAGGTTGATTGTTTATATCTAAGTGAAAGTTAATTAGTATTAGTTCTTCTATTGTTCCCAAGTCAACTTGCCATTTTTTAAAAGCATGTTTCCTTCACATGACATTCATAATGTAATTTTTCTTAAAAATATTTTCAAGGTGTGACACTTAATAGCAAAAATTAATATAATACTGTCATGTTTAAGGAATGAAACTATTTGTCTTAGTAGTCGTGGCACCATGTGTCAGTTATCTTGGAATGCTATTAATTCCTCACAACAGTTCTTGGGTATGTTTTGAAAGACACTAAGTCTGTAAAATTTCAGAGAGTTTATATGAAGTTTAAGCAGTTCAAACTACAATTTCAGCAAGCATAATTAGATGGTAGTTTATGAAATTGCTTTAACATATAAATAAAACAAAGCTAAATCAAATGAACAGAGAATAAAATATGAATGTCTAATGAAAACTCCATTTGTATGCTGAGCAGAAATAATTTGGAATGAGTTTCATTTTGAAGTCCATTTAAACAATGTGCATAAAGATATACAAGAGTTTCATGTTTATTGAAAGCTTAAGATGTCAAATGTCTTTGAAACAATTATAAGCATTGAATGAGAAATAAACTTTTTCCAGGGGACAGTGTAAATATTATATAAAAGAATGACATAAGTAAATGAGAAAAAGATTTATAGACAAATATTTTGGTATTCTTAACCGGCAAGTTCTAGAACTATGGAATTAAAAAGATTAATCATTTTTATTTATTTCATATATATATATATATATACATATACATATATATATATATGGATTCTCAAATTTGCATGTCATCCTTGCATAGGGCCATACTAATCTTCTCTGTATCATTCCAAATTTAATATATGTGCAGAAGCAAGAACAATCAGTTTTATGTTAAATTATCTAGAAACAATCATAGAAAAATCAATTTCTGATAACATTTATCTATATATATAATATAGTATAGAGAAATATCTATGCTAAAACTTAGAGAACACCATAGCTAATACACCATACAGAAGTTACATATTTGTGTTCAGTATTGTGACCTTTACACGATTCATTGAACTCTAAAAACTATTAACTGAATTATTGTGATTTTTACACACTGTATGTCTAATTGTAATTAAGGCTCTCTCAGTGGAAGGAAACTTACCTGTAGTGGTGTAAACAAGGTGAAACACACATGACTGGAGAGAGTTCACAGATCTTATAGGAAAAAAAGTCTATTTTTTCCATACCCCTAGATAAATGTGATTTCTTACTGTATTCTAAATACATCCTCATAATCACAGACAAGTGTATCATACACAACTCATTAAAGAAGCTTTACTTTTGCATCAAATGGAGACTAATACAGAGTTTCACAACAGGTAAAATGAAGAGAAGATATGTCTGTGAGATGCTTCACACTGACACATCTTCCTTGCAGTCTCCGTACATAAGATGAATGTATCTCTCAAATCTCACCAGAGAAATTCCCTTATGCAGCAGCTGTTGATAAACACAGAGATCCACAACTGGTAAATGTGTAGTGAACAAGAAGATGCAGAGTGCTTTTCCCTGAATAGGACACCTATTTCAAATTTCTGCCTCCCAAGGCTCAGAGATGACTATGGAATAGGCAGTAGAAGGACTGGAAGAGTGAGAGGTTGTGGATGACCACAAGGAACCAGAGTTTTTCAGATGGCTAGTCAGTTAAACATATGAACCCACTGCAATGGTGACAGCATACACAGGCCCCATACAAGTTTGTGGAACTTCTTATAATTAACAAAGAAATGGGCCTCCAAGCATAACTGTGAGGATATTTATTATTTATTTATTTATTTATATTTACTTATTTATTACTTAGCATTTAAAATTTCATAGAATATTTCTCACTCACATTCAGACCCACTCCTCCATCCATGCCTCCATATCCATGCCTCCCTTGCCCCACCAAACCCTATGCATTCTGCCATACATGCTGAGTCCTGTTCATTCAGGTGTTTATACCCAAATATACTTCAGTGTAAATACATCCACTGGAGTTTAGTCAGCCAATCCAATAGTCATATATAATTCATATTCTCCCTCATCCAGTAGCAACCAGTCTCAAAGAGTTTTTCATCTAGTGCTGACTGCCACCTATAGATCTCATCTACTTTGGGCTCTTGTTTAATTGAGCTGATATGCGTCTAGCATTGGATACCACCACTGCTGTAGGCACACATTAGGAAGCTTCAATTGGCCTGGAAGCCTCCACCTCATACATTCATGAACCAGGCCTGGCTCTTACAATCTTTCTGTCTCCTCTTCTTCAATGGTCCCTGAGTTGTAGGTGGGTGAGATTCCATTTAAGAGTCCCATCTTACACTCTACAGCCCCTCGCTCTACCCCTTTTCTGCTGTGTTCCATGAGCTTTGGTTGTAAAGATTTAACTGCAGATGAATCACTAGTACTGGGCATCTCCAGATGTATATTCTCTATGCATAACCAGATGTGCTATTCTGCAGTAGTCTCCATCTGTTGCAAAAAGAAGCTTCTTTGATGAATACTGTACACGTTTGTTGCTCTAAGGGAGCTCTCTTCTATCGTGCACTGCGTTCCCTTTCAAGCAGGTCCTAGGTGTACATATGCATTAATGTTCAGACACTCTACCTGCATTTCTCATAGGGTCTCTAGGGCATTACTTTCCCTCTAGGTTTACTAGCCCCCCCCCATATTCACTTATCTCTACTCGTTTTTCTCCAGTCTGGCCTTCCTCCCTCCCTTCCTAGTCACAGTTCCCCCATTATTTCCACCCTCCCCCCAATATCTCCTGACTTTGGTCATCTTTCTGTTCCTGACTTTCCTCCCTCCCTTACACTATGGTCCCTGTATGTCTCTCCCTCTTTTCCTACCTGACAATTACTCATAATATTTCCACATCCCTCAGGTAGTATCTGTTCCCTACTACCTTTCTTTCAGATTGTTTCTTTTCCTTTACCTCCATGTATCCTTTCCCTTTATCTGGCTCATGCTGTTCTTTTATACTCATGTATAAAAGAAAGTGGTGGTACAATCCATGAACGAGGAAGAAGATATGTTGCTTACTTTTATGCTTTTGCGTTACTGCGCTTAGTACGACATGCTCTAATGCCATCCATTTACATGCAAATTTTATAATTTCATATTTTCTTAATGCTGAGTAGAACTCCATTGAATAGATGTATCACATTTTCATTAACCATCAGTTGAGGGACATTTAGATTGTTTCCATTTCTTAGCTATTGGGAAGAGAGCAGCAACAAACATGGATGTACAGGTATCTCTATGGGACTATGAGACCTTTGGGTATATGTCAAGGAGTAGTTTCACTGCATCATATAGGAGGTTCATTTTTAGTTTGTTGAGAGTTCTCTACACTGCTTTCCACAGTGGTTGTGTAAGTTTGCAGTCCCACCAACAGTGAATAAGCATTCCTCTTTCTCCACATCCTCTCCAGGATTTGGAATCTTTCATTCTCTTGATCTTGGCCAATTTGACTGTGGTAAAATGAAATCTTAAAGTGGTTTTAATTTGCATTTCTCTAATTACTAAGGATGTTGAGCACTTTTAAAGGTAATTCTTAGCCATTTTTATTTCTTTGCTTGAGAACATTCTGTTTAGGTCTATCACCCATCTTTTTATTGGGTCGTGTATCTTCTTATTTCTTTTTTGAGTTCTTTGTATACTCTGGATATTAACCCTCTATCAGATGTGTTGCTTAAAGATTGTCTTGCACTCAGTGGGTTTCCTCTTCCCTTAATTAGTTGCTTCTTTTGTTGTGCAGAAACTCTGTAATTTAATGAAGTCCCTCTTTACTGACTGTTCACCTTAGTGCCTGAGCAGCTATTGTGTGATTTAGAAAGTCCATTCCTATGCCTATATTCTAGAGGATGCTGCCCATGTTTTCTTCTAGCAGTTCCTGAGTTTCATGTTTTATATCGAGGTCTTTGATCCATTTGGATTTGACTTTTGTGAAGGGTGAAGGAAAAGGCTCAAGTTTCATTTTTCTGCTGGTGGAAATCCAGTTTTGCCAGCACTGTCTGTTGAAGATGCAGTCTTTCCTCATTGTTTGTTCTTAGCACCTTTGTCAAATATCAGGAGGCTGAAATCATATGACCTCATGTTTGGGTCTTGTATTATGTTACATTGATCTGCGTGTTTATTTTTGTGCCAGTATCATCCTGTTTTTATGACTATAGCTCTGTACGTAATATAATCTGAGATCTGGTATGGTGATACCCCAGCATTGTTCTTTTTGCCCAAGATTTTTTGGCTATCCAGGGTCTTTCGTGATTCCATATGAATTTTAGGATAATTTTTTCAAGTTCTGTGAAGAATGATATGAGTATTTTGATTGAGATTTCATTGAATCTATAAATTGCTTTTGGTAAGATGGTCACTTTCACAATATTCATCCTACCAATCCATAAGCATGGTAAGTCTTTTCATCTCTTAGTGTCTGTGTCTATCTCTTTCTTTAGAGTTCTGAAATTTTAAATTTTTGTCATCTCTTAGATATATCACACTGTCTCCAAAATGAGATAATTTGATTTATTCTTTTCAAGTTATTATTTCTTTAATATCCTTCTCTTGTCTTATTGCTCTTGCAAGAGGTTTGATCAGTATATTGAAAAGGAGTGAATATAGTTTACAGCCCTGTCTGGCTCATGATTTCAATGGAAATGCTTCCAGTTTTTCTCCATTTGGGATGATGTCAGCTATATGGTTATTGTATATAGCTTTAATTATGTTGAGGTATTCTCCCTCCAGACCAGCTCCTTCTAGAACTTTTAACATGAATGCATGTTGGATTTTTCCAAGGGTCTTTTTTTTCCATCTATTGAGATGACCAAGTGGTTTTTGTCTTTAAGTCCACATTTAAGTTTTATTACATCTATTGACTTAAGAATGTTGAACCATCCCTGCATCTCTAGAAAAAAGCAGACTGGATCATGGTGGAGGATCTTGTTGATTTACGTCTGTATGCAGTTTGCAAGTATTTTGTTGTATCTGTGCATCTATGTTCATTAAGGATATGGGTCAATAGTTTTCTTTTTTGTTATATCTTTACCTGGTTTTGGTATTGAGTGATACTGCTTCATAGAAGGAGTTTGGTAATTCTCCCTCTGTTTCCATCTTTTTGAATAATTTTAGCAGTATTGGTTGTATTTTTTTTTTTTTTTGACTGTTTGATAGAATTCTGCTGTAAATCCATCTGGGCTGGTTTTTTTTTTTTTTTTTTCAGTTGTGAGGTTTTGCATTACTGTTTTATTTCTTTATTTGCTATGTATCTGTTTAGGCTGTTGATCTCCTCTTGGTTTAAATTGGGGGGTGGTCATAATTTTAGGAAATCATCCATTTTTAGGTTTTCAAATTTAATGGATTATAGATTTTTAAAATATTCCTTTACAATATTTTGGATTTTTTTATGTCTATGGTGATGTTTTTCCCCGTTCATCTCTGATTTTGTTAATTTGGAATTGCTCTATCTTTCTTTGGTTAACAAGTGTTAGTGTCTGTCTATCATGTTAAACTTTTCAAAGAACCAGCTCTTAGATTCATCAATTTTTTGTAATATTTTCTTTGTTTATATTTCATTTATTTCTGCTCTGAGTTTTGTTATTTCTTCTCATCTACTAGGTTTGTGGTTGCTTTGTTCTAGCCTTTCCAGAGCCTTGAGTTATTGTCAAGTCATTTACATGTGCTCTTTATGTTTTTTTAAATCTAGGCACTAAGGTATAATCTTACCTCTTAGGACTGCTTTTAGGGTGTCCCAGAATTTTTGTTGTGTTCTGTTCTTGCTTTCATTTTGTTCCAGTAATACTTTTATTTCTTTCTTAATTTCTTCTTTGGCCCATTCTTGATTCAG